ATTCTGGGAGTTGAAGTCCACCCATCTTCAAGCTGCTAAGGCTGAGAAACACTGATCTAGTCCAACTCTCTGCAGTGTGCAAGGAAATCAATGAAACCATCCTGAGAGATGGCTGTCCAGCTACTTCTTTAAAAATCCAGGGCAAACAGACCCCTCTCTAAACCATCATGTTTGGGGACTGTGAAAGTTCTCTTGGGGTTATGGCCAAGTTCTCTCCCCTTCACAAGCCATTCGCTCCATGCTGTGAGCCATATTCATGACCCTCCCAGAATTACTTGGAAGCCCCTACAATTCCCTTCTTAGGTCCGCCTGTTCCCAGCTCTGCCCAGTACTCCAGACCAAGTCCTTGCGGTGCTGAGAAAAAGACCATCCTGCCTGGGGCATGAGCCACCTTCAGAAGAAGCCTTCATCTGAAACAGTTGTGGGCTCTTAGCTATGATTGTTCATGAAATGCTCATAGAAGAGATTACTTTGATGATGGCCCCGGAGTTTTGCTGATATCTGAACTACGTTACCATCTGCCTTGGGTTGCTCAGGCATCTCTTTCTCCATAGGGGCTGGGGCCGGGGCCCTTGGGCGTGGGCCTACAGCATTGGCCTGGGCCTATAATGACAAAAGCAGTGAGAAATTAGGGACATCACTCCCTAACCTGAAAGAGAAGGCAGCACAGAGCTCCTGGTTCCATCCCTAAAGGACATCCCTCTTTGCCAGCACCTTGAAGGAACAAGGCCACTGGACCACATGCAGGATCCTTGTCCTGCCCTTTGAAATGGTTACCGCTTGGTCATCATCTTCACAAAGGAAAGCTTCTGGAGGAGAAGATCGGGTTTCCACAAACTTTGGGCCATGGGAGATTCCTGATAGCCCACAAATTATTAAGGACCAGGGAGAGCACCAGAGCAGAGCCCCCTTGGCCTTGGGATCACAGCTTCTGACTGGCCTCCTTCTGCCCACACACACAAAAATGGCTTTTTGTTTTAAAGCCATTAGAGTTTAACCAACTATAGTTTCCTTTGTTCCTGAGGTGCCTGGTTGCATGTTGGCTTGTCAGATTTATATCCCCACCTTTTCTTCCCAAAGCTCAAGGCAGCTTCCATGGGGAATCGATCTCCACTTTTTCTCCACCACAACAATCCTATGAGGTGGACCAGTCTGAGAAAGGCAACCACTGAGTTTCCATGGCTGACATGGAAGACATGAACCCAGGTCTCCTGGTCCTAGTCCAACAAGTTCATTTCTTTCCAGCTACCTGAGCCATATTACAGATGGGCATTGATTGATTGATTGATTGATTGATTGATTATGTACCATCCAGTCAGCGTTATTACTTAATAACCACATAGATAGATCTTCTGTCCTCAACCCAGTCCTTCAGTGGTGCCCCCCATTGCTGCTGTAACTGAGCCCATCCCCCTTGCTGCTGGTCTTCCTCTCCTTCTCTTCCCTTCCAACTTTCCCAGCATGATGGACTTCTCCAGAGAGATATAACATGTCCAAAATACGATCATTTATGCCTGATCATTTGTCCCTCAGGTCAGAATTCAGCATTGATTGATTTTATGATCATATCTATGATATGGTTTGAGAAGTCCATAACGTTGGGAAAGGTGGAAGGGAAGAGAAGAAGAGGACCACCAGCAGCAAAGTGGAGGGACTCAGTTACAGTGGAGATGGGGGCACCACTGGAAGACCTGAAGGACCAGGCTGGGGACAGATCACCCTGGAGAAGATTTATCTGTGTGGTTGCTAAGAGTCAACACTGGTATGATGGCACATAATCAATAATCAATCCCAAGAGATGCAAGACTAACATTTTGCATAGAAATGACACACCTTGATCTGTAATGGAAGATCCTCTGAGATATCATAGCTCAGTATCAGTCTGATCATTTCCTCAATTACACAATCTAAAGAAAGTTGCTGTCTAGATGGGTTGGACTTTAAATTCCATAATCCCTACCCAGCAGGACCACGTTGGCTATAGAACCATGAAGTTGGAGGCACCTCAAGGATCATCTAGTCCAGCTCCCTGCAGTGTGTAAAGAAATCCAACCCAAACATTCATGAGAGGTCCAGCCTCTTCCTCCAAGTTTCAGAGATGGAGAACCCACAACCTCGGACCCTTCTAGACCATTCCACTGCAGATCTGACTCTCAAGAATCTGTTTTTCACTTATATTAAATGAAATCTGGAAAGGTACAACTAATACCCACTAGTTCTGGTTGTATTTCTGTGGCAACGGAAAACAGAAAATATGAGTCAGTGGCCAGGCCCAGTGCTATTTTAGGCTGCATCAACAGAAGCAGAGTCCCCAAATCATGACAGATCACCACAGTGCTCTATTCTACTCTGGTTAGACCCCCACCTCAGATTTTGTACCTGGATTCAGACCCATTTGAACCAGGAATGGGGTGACGAAAGTGACCCAGGGGCTAAAAACAAAGTCCTCTGAAGGGGACAGAAGGAGGAGTTCATGCTGAGTCCTGAGAGAAAGGACTCCAGACTCCTGAAAGGATGTCACAGAGTGCAGGACACAGACTTGACTGAACGTTAGGAAAAACTGTCCCACTGTTGGCAAGATCTTACATCAGATCCTGGGCGCTGAAGTCTAGTGCATTGAGAGAGCACCAGATGACAAAAGTTGGAGAGCAAAAAGGGTGGCTAAAATTATTTCCTTGCATTTTACTTGGCAACAATGCTAACACTTCCCACTCCCAATGGGTTGATACAACAATGACATCCTCGCCTGGTCCGCCCACCTAGGACAGCTACAGAAGCCTCTCCAAATACTTTGGATGGAACTCCCACCGCTGGATCCCCGACCAGGGTGGTCCTTAGGACTTGGGAATTATGGGGATATTTGGAGTCACAAGGCTGAGGAATGATTGACTGATCAGATGGAGAAAGGAAAAATACTCAGTTGTGACACAGCTGGCCAATGGCGAAGGGGCTGGCGTTTTTAGCCCCTTTTTGAAACCCTAATTTTCAAGCCAGCTTTAAAGACCTTTGTTGAAAATGAAACCGTCAAAGGTTAGAACATTAATTCTTTTTAATAGTTGGCACCTCCTGAGATCCAAAAGGGAGTTTGTCTGTCACCTTGTCCCTTGCACTGAATTCCACCCCCTGCCCCACTCCAAGCGGTGGCTTCTGCAGAGATGGGGGGGAGAAGAAGGAAGCTCTCACTGTCAGCATCCCATGCACCTTCATATCTTCCAGCGACGGGTACAAGGTCGACATGGCGGAGGCTGCTTCTCTAGGAGCACAAACCGGAGGGACACAGAGGACGTCTTCAAGGGAGGGTCGTCGTGAAGGTCACCACCAGCTTCTCTCCAGGGAAGACGTTCTCGGGGCTCAGCTTCTCCTGTTTGTTTTTAGGGCAATCACCCAATTAAAGACAACCAAATTAATCGTGTGTGTTTAAACCAGAATTGCATAAATGAGTAAACATTCCAAAGCAAATTTTTTCCGATGCTTCCTGTTTTTCTTATCTACAGAGTCTAATTGTGCTCCTATCTGTTCCTGCACCTTGAGCTTTCTGGACAAATGTTTCTGCAACTCCCAAATTAGTTGCTTTAATTTAATCTAATTGAGTACTTCCTTTGGTGGTTCTAATTTAATGTAATGGATTCATCCAACCTCCCCCAGTCTTTGAGAAAGGATGACTTCATCTAGCCCCCTGGCTGAAGGAATACTTGCTTCTTCTTCACTTTTAAATGTTGAAATTCCACAGGGAAGTTTCTCAAGCTGCACAGTTCAGGCATACAGTGGGAGAGATGATTCCAAATTTCTCAAAAGCAGCACCACGTTGCTCAAAGGAAAGCATTAGTCACTTAATTATACAGAATAATAGAACTGGATGTCTCTGTTTCTATGTTGGGTGAATGGAAAAATAAGCCAGGATTTTAAAATGAGCACCTGGATTTGCAGTTCACCAGCTTTCTGCGATGACCATATTGGCTTTCTGACCCTGACAGAACTCCAAGAAATGATTCCTTTCTAGTGCCGTGTTAGCTGTGGCTGATGGGAGCGATAATCCAATGTTTCTGGGGTGTGTTTCCCCACAAGAGCCAAGGCGACGTGTAAGTTGGCCTTTGCCCAACTTTGTGTGGTGCGCCAGCTACTCCCTTTCCCGGATCAGGCAGCTCCCTGGCCAGTCACTCCCACCCTGGTCATTTCTCAGCTAGACTATTCCAATGCGCTCTACATGGGGCTACCCTAGAAGAGTATCCGGAAGTTACAGCTGGTTCAAAATGCAGCCACACGGACAATCTTGGATGCCCCAAGAACAGCACATATAATACCTTTGCTGCGTTGGGTGCCAGTTTGCTTCCAGGTCCCGTTCAAGGTGTTGGTTATCACCTTTAAAGCCCTACCTGGCATGGGGCCAGGTTACCTGAGGGACTGACTCACCCCCATCACATCAACCCGTCCCACCTGGTCAGGCAGAGGGATGTGTTGCGCACCCCGTCAGCGAGGAAATGTCGGCTGGTGGGGCCCAGGAGGAGAGCCTTCTCTGCCGTGGCCCCCGCCCTCCGGAATATTCTCCCCCCAGAGGTGCAGCGGGCCCCCACCCTCCTGGCTTTCTGGAAAGGATTGGCACAGTCCATCAGCTTCTGTGGGGCGATAAGAGTTTTACTCAGTCCTGGGGGAGGCTGGAGCCCTGATGTCACGCCTGAGTTACTCGCCAATTTTAACATCTATCCTTGGATTATATTTATTTTCAATTTATTTAGGGTTATTTTATATTGTAATTTTAATTGATAGTAACTGCTTTGTAAACTGCCCAGAGTCATTTTTTAACGAGATGGGCAGTGACAAGTTTGACGTACAAATAAATGAATAATAGTTTGACAGCAGGAGAAATTTCTAAGAGGAAGTGACTCAGATGAGCCCTCAGAAAGAGGATGAGGAATGTGAATTTTGCTATGATTTAGACCTGTCAAATCCAGGTTTAAGTCCCACCATCACTGGGCCCAACACTCTCCTGGAATCGCAGAAGTGAGAATACGCTGGGTTATGACGGGAGAGGTAGGATGCGATTCCCACTTTGCCCTGAAGTGACCCTGAGACAAACTCTTCCTAAATCGCCGGGTGGTTGTTCTGACCTAATAAGGTGAAGGAGAGAGTCCCCTTTGCCGTCTTCTGCACGGCAAAGGAATGAAAAACGTTGCCTTTCTTAAAAAAAAAGGATCTCAGGTCATTAATTGCAGAACATGCTTCCACAGAGACCCTGCTGCACGTCTGGGTGGACAGGCCTGAAAACCGCTGGATTTCCGCTTTTCTTTCAAGACACGCAATCCATCTGTTTGCGCGCTTGCAAATATGCAGTCACCTGGAGGCAGCCTGCAATTTTCACATAGTAAAGCACCCATTAAAAACAACCCGATATTAAATCCCCAAACGGTATCTGTTACTCTTATTTCACATCTCCCTTGCCACATGCCCTACAGTCACCATCTTGACTTTTTTGACCACCCCAGACAGCCCTTGTGACCTCGAAGAAGGCTCTCCTGGGTCTCCTCTCACTACTATCCTTCTTAACCAGATTAAGTGTGTTGTGTTAACGCAGTCTCTGAGTGCCCCTTAAATAAGTGTCACTCTCCCTCCCTCCCTCACACACAGACACACACACACACACACACACAGAGCAAACTCCCTCACTCCCCCCCACCACACACATAAACACAGTCCGGGAGTTACAGACCCAAATCTCTCCAAAAGGGAACGACTGATCCCAGTACTTAAAAGACACCCGTTAATGGCCATGGTTCCTTACCTGTCCGATTCCCCGGGTGCGACTGCCGCTCTTGGTTTCAGTCCTCCCAGCATCCCTGCCAGGTGATAGGAGAGGTCACCTGGCTGGGAGAGGAGGCGGCATCAGCTGACGGGGAGCGAAACTCAGCTCGGCGGTGAGAGAACCAGGTGAGGCTACCTGGCTGACGTCACGGAGAGGAGCTGGCTGGAGCGAGAGACGCTTCTGATCTGCCGGTGCCGAACGTGATCGGAAGGTGACAGGGAAGCGCGTCCCCTCCAAACGGCACCGCCTTCCACTGGCCGGTGGAGCAGGGAAAGGTTTTGGCCCTAACCCGACGGCTGAGCCTTTTTAAAACAAAAACAAAAAATGGGGAAAGCGTGGGATGTGTGATTCTTTTGCATGCAAACCACGGGTTGTGTTGATGAATTCCCAAACAGGTTCTGGATGGGCTCCAGGATTTGCCAGTTGGAGAATACAGATTCTTCTGAGCTCCCAACGCACCCAAAAAATCAGGAGGGGTCTGGTAGCAGCTTCTCCAACTAACCCATTTTATTCAGGGCATAAACTTCCAAAATTTTAGTAAAGTCTGTTAGCCCGGAAAGGTGCTACCGGGCGCCTGATTTTTTCCCAGCACAGACTAAAACGGCTCTCTTCCTACCATCTCAGTAAGCTGCCTTATGCAAAATGAGTCAGGAAAAACCCAAGCAAGCTAATATTAAAACCAGGACTTGGCCATTGGGAATTCCTGCCCAACCTTGCCTGAACTAGAAAGGCTAAGGGGGGCCCCATTTGGATAGCCCTGGGATGGGAGACCACAAGAAAACCCCAGGGCTGTCTGAAAGTTGAAAAACAACCCTGCTCTCCTTGGAAGTGCAGTGGCAAACTTCAATTCCAGAACCTCCACGCCCCTGGCTGGGATTAGAGCAACTTCTGGTAACTTCTCCGTCACTCCTGCAGTCCTCCCATGCCTTGCGGGGTTGGCAAAGTGGAGGCATTTCTGCATCCGAATGACAGCCTGTTAATTAATCACCTCCCCAGTTGCTTAAGGCGTCCTGGATCATTTTGGAAACTGTTATGCCTATTTTACAGAAGGGAATGCATGGCTACTGACTCACCAGAGCAGTGATTCTCAACCTTGGCAGCTTTAAGATGTGTGGACTTCAACTCCCAGAACGTCGCGTGAGCCAAACAGCAGACCAGATAACCTGCTGTCTGGAGGTGCCAGGCTGAGGC